TTAGCGGGTCAGCCCTTACCAAGATGCACTTCTATCCGTGACTTAGGCGTCCATCAAGACAGCAAATTGGTTTTCGATACACATATTGATGCAATCGTCAAAAAAGCCTCTAAACTGCTAGGATTTATAATGCGTCTTTCAAAAAATTTCACTGATGCAAAGACCCTTAAAATATTATATTGCACTTATGTCAGGAGCCAGCTGGAGTATGCGTCTCAGGTATGGAATCCAAGATATCAAAAATATATTGACCGCGTGGAAAACATTCAAAAACGTTTTATAAAATATCTCTGTTTCCACCAAAATATACCATACCAGTCTGCCCGTTATCTTGAACTCTGTAGAAAATTCCATCTATTACCATTGGTAGATAGACGCAATATTGCAGATTGTCTATTCTTGTTTAAGGTTCTTAACGGCAATGTGGATAGTCCAGAACTATTATCAAAAATCAAATTTAATGTACCTAATAAAATATTTAGATTTAATCCACCTTTACACGTATCCCGTTCCTCATCTAACTACAGGCAGAACAGTTACATTATGCGTGCAAGCAGACACTTTAACAATGTTTGTAAGGAATATGACTTCGATCCGTTTACAACTAGTGTGAACTCGGCAAAGAGGTGCTTAAGCCTTAAATTTTTTAAGCAGCACTAGATCTTTAGTTTTTTTTTATCGTTTCTCTTGATCTGTTCATAATCATATTGTCTGTACGGTCTGTTTCAATATTTATTTTTTTCATTTACGCAGAATGTATGTATTTTTAATATTGTATAGTACTCACACCATATTAATTATTTCAAATGTTAAACGTGAGGACTTGTTATTGGCTCATTGTTACCTACGCCTATTGTTATTTTTATCCATTTTTATATGCCTAGTCCTCCATGAATTATAAATAAATAAATAAATTAATTAAATGTACGTTTTTTTGTACTTTAGTGATGTTTTACTATTCGACTAATTTCAATAGATATCGACTCCGGTTAGTCTCGAAATTAGTCGGGTAATCTCGTAATAAAATACGATTTTTTTTTCACTCAAAACTAAGTTTTTTCTTGTATTGTGGGTGTGTTCATAAAACATTTGTTTACACAAAGACCTGGAAAAGAATAATAATGTAGATGTCTCAGAATCGAACTCACAATACTTTACGGTATTTTATTCATTCATTATTAATTAATTACTAATAATGTTATTTGTTTTCCAGCGAGACGTTAAACCGCGCGGCGTCAGCAGACAGTTCTGAGGAGGCGAACAGTACGAAGGAGTCCTCGCCAGTACCCGCACATCACAGACTCGACTTCCATACCCACGGGTGAGATATTATAGTCTAATTATCAAATCATAATCATTAATTACTATCATCTAGGTATATTGCTTTTTTAAATTATAATGTTTTGAATGCATCTTTGGTCTACCTGTTACTTAAGATTAAGACTGAATTGGCTAAAGGCGCGTGAAATTTGAAATTGCACCCTGTTTAGGCAAGTAGGATCGTCTTATTTCTTTGTTGTTCTTACGTTGTTCTTACCTTTAGGAAACACAAATGGTGTGAAGTTAAATTATAAATAACTAGCAAACCCGGCGAATCCCGTTTCGCCACCAGATGGCTTCGTTTTATGTAACATTTCGTTTGGTGATTAGTGAATTTTCTTTGCTATAAACCTCACGGAGCCCGAGACCTTTCCAACGAATGCTAAACCGTGGAAATCAATTTGTGCCTTCTGGAGTTATAGCGTCAGGAAGGAAAACCCTACTCATTTTTATATAGTAGATATTGTAATACTAGCTGACATGGCAAAGTCCGTACCGCCTCAAAAATTATTTTTCTTACCTTTTAAACATTCCCTGGACTTCCACGAACACTTCAAAACCACAATTAGCCAAATTGGTTCAGCCGTTCTTCATTTTTATATTTACTGCCTCACTGACCGAGTGGTTGCACCGGTCAGAGGGACTCGGATTCGATTCCCGGGTCGGGTAAAGTATTATTGGGTTTTCAGTAGTAGCACTGAGTCGGGAAATGTGCCCGGTATATGGCAATAGACTCACCCCCTATTACATGGGACTCATAACATAAATAATAAAAAGTGGGTTTTACATTGTACAGTGGAATTAAATGCCGTAATGTGCACCTTTGCCTACGCCTTCAGGGATAAAAGCCGTGATGTTACATTTCGTAATGTATTTGCTCGCAGGGAGTTCAACTCTAGTCAACTGGGACGCGACAAGATCCGCCCGTACGAGACCGACGAGAACGGATACATTATTACTAAATGTAAGTATTATTATAAAACACTAGTTTCTGCTTGCGACTTCGTACGCGCAGTCCCGTTTTTCTGTCACAAGAACCTTCTGAAAATAACAAACACAACAAAAAAGATCAGCCAAATCGGTCTAGCTGTTCTCAAGTTATGGAGTGACAACGGGAAACGGGCTTAATTTTTATATACAACATGTAACTTAAATAACGCACAACCTGAAAATAGTTTGTTCAGAATCGTTAACTGAATCGATTTATATAATTTTAGTATAGGTAATTTTTTATCCCAAAAATAATTAGAGAACACTGGAATTTATACCAAAGGCATTCTGTCTAAGGTTGATTACTTGCCGGCAGCGGTGGCCAGTGGGTTTCTTAATACTAGGATCACTGAGTCTCCGCGAAGGAACATCTTTGAGATAAATCTATCCTTGTTGACTGCTTTACCTTTCTTGCCTTTGCCCAGCCTTTGTACTTGAGTCCACATGTCCTTGATGTTTTCAAGTACCACGTTGCAATGCCGGTCGAAATGCTGGTCGAAGTCATTTGATGAAATATTATTTATCCTTGCAGCGGGTCTGCGCGAGCCGGAGGTCCTGGAGGCGCTGTGCAAGCTGGACGTCGGCGCCGCCCCCCCCGAGCACTGGGAGCGACTACTGCTGGCCACCCACGAACTGCTCAAGTACGGCGACTGCAGGAAGCCCGCCGAGTACTTCAAGTTAGTATACAGTCTAGTTTACGAGCACTGGCAGCGACTACTGCTGGCCACCCACGAACTGCTCAAGTACGGCGACTGCAGGAAGCCCGCCGAGTACTTCAAGTTAGTATACAGTCTAGTTTACGAGCACTGGCAGCGACTACTGCTGGCCACCCACGAACTGCTCAAGTACGGCGACGAGGACGAAGTAAAAATCGCTGGTTACACACGTAAAAATACTGAGAAAAGCTCTACTAGTTCCGAGCCACAGAGTGCTGCTTGCATAAGAATTCTACCGCAGTCGCGGCGATGTCGCTACGCCTCGACAGCCGCTTAGACCGCGCTTTCTCAGTACATTCACGTGAGTGACTCGCAATTTTAGTTAATTTAGTATGTCTCACGACAGTGATTATAAAAACAATAAATACATTCATAAGATTCATCGTCTTCAAATATTATTTTCACATGTATTTTTTGGATACTTCCAGGAACATAGTACGAGTGGCGCTAGCGGCGTTGTCTATAGATGAAAATTCAGGAGACAAAGAAAATACTGAAAATGCGAGCAACGCGCAGCAGACTTCAGGTTAGTTACTGCGTGATTCAACAGCATTATTTTCAAATGTTTACTTCTATATAAATTATATAGTTAAACTGTCAAACACCAAGCAGTCACCGATGACCGCAACCTATTGTTCTATAATTGTGTCTATAATGACGGTACTCAACGAGTTAAATTGACTTAATTGCCTGTTTAAGTATGCCATAATCAAACTCAAACTGAAAAGCATTTATTTCAATTAAACCATAATTTGGTACTTTTGTAACGTCAACAAATATGAGATATATAATAGTCCGTCAGTGAAGCTAGGCGCTCGTTCCAAAATGTCGTCGATTCGAGTGGAAAAGAACGAGCAAGAACTCCATTCGTTACTCTTTTAAAAAAAGTCTGTTTTACATTGCTCTGATACATATTCCAATATTGTACACACATGTACACTG